GACATTGGGATCAGGCCTGCCATCTAGCGAGAGAATTATCGTAAGTTAGGAGCAAGCCGAATGAACGCCATCTCTCAGCATTATGACACACGTGGGTGTGGTGTGTTAGTTGGCTTGAAGTGCATATTCCCACGAGTTGGAGGTAATCTTACTGGTCCTGAGACGACAAAAAACGTCCTAAATGCTTGAAAGCCAAAAACGTCAAGCGGTCTTTAGGTAATAACGAAAATAAAATGCGTAAGACGGTGTGTATTGAAACGCCCAGTCACATCGGCTTGTACGACCTTTTATATGGTCATTTACTCACAATGGTAAAGCAGTTTGACAATATGTCACTTACATATTTGGTAGGTTCATTTCTTCTTCTCCGAATTACGCCCGATTTTCTTCATCTTAGTTAATGTTACGGCACGTGTCACGTGCCAACTTAGGGGTGTCGAAATTGTTCCACATAAAGTAACTCCGCAATGGCTGGGCCAATTACAGTAAAACTTCGTCAATAGTTAGGCACCCAGTGGCCAATGCATTTCCATGTGTCACTATGGGGGTGCTACTGCACGTGCGCACGTGCGGGGTGCCGCTTCCATATCTCAAGAACGGCTGGGCGGATAACACTCAAACTTGGTACACAAATGTCACATCGATGCTCGCACTGCATTGATCAGTGCTTACATTGGTGCAGAGCTGTTAGGAAAACGATGAAATGAGATGCGTGGTGTTTATGCCTTTCTTTTCCAGCAGCTGATTGATTCGCAACAGGAGATCCTTGTTTGCAAAGGCTTCGTCTCCCTTTTCCACCCCTTGTTTAAAATAGCATTAACAATGTACGAAGAAGATCACACATAAAAGTTGTTTTAGGCAGCTATCTTGGGCCAGGGCTGCGAAGTTGTAGTCAGAGCCAGCGGTTCTGTTCCGACTCGTAGTCGGTTGATTTTTAAAAGCTGTAGCCCGAGTATGAGTCGAACGTCACCGAAAAGTCATCACTCCACAGACTTACCAGGGCTGCAGGCGGAGTCAGAGTCGGAGTCTGCGTGAATTGACAGTTCTGCCCGGAGGAGTCGGAGTCGATATTTGGATACCGGAATCGGAGTTGGAGCCAAAGTTACTGAAATTTCATCGACTACGCACCACCGGTTGGGTCCTTTTCATAGAGCGTCTTGAATGACATATTGAGCGGCAATGACGTTAGCAATTCCGTTTAAGTTTTTCATTAGACTTATAGATAGTACTAACGTTCGTTTTGTTCTTTGATCGGACAATTTGTTTGATTTAGGCCAAGTAAAGACTCATGTGAAAAATAGCGAAAACGACACGTGCTGGCAAAGTCTCCAATAACTCCCTGTTTCACGATTTAATGAGGAAATAACATGGAACTGCTTATCTTATTACTGACCCTGCACATAAATCTATTAATTTCTTCGCTTTTACTGACATATAAAGACATAACCTTTTGAAAAATTGCACAACAAGCCTGCTACTACACCACACTCCCGTGTGTCACAATGCTAATCAGCGGCGTTCACTCGGCTTGCTCCTAACTTACGACAATTCTCCCGCTAGATGGCAGGCCTGAGCTCAATGTCGCCAAAAACTGCGAAGACACCAATCCATTATTATCTCATCCATGGTAATTCGAACAATCACTACGTTTCCATGACACGTCTAAATCGATTTAGCGAAATTTCACGTGCGTTTTTCTCGGAAACTATTTACCTTATGCAAAAAATGAGCGTAGATATGGTTTTAGCTAGCACCTAATCCTATATTTACATTTTTAAATTACGCCTAAATGCTATGATGGAGCAAATCCATTTTTCAAAATTGGCTTAGATTGTGTCATGGAAACGTAGCCAATGTTTGAAAGCTCCTGACATCTGGAGGCCTTTTACAGACCTTCACAGCGAAAGTGTATTCTCAGGAGCGTAGTTTAGTATTATAAGTTTCCCGACGTGCTTTGGTAGCGATGTGCAATGCAATAAATATGCATCATAATTATATGCATAATAGCTTTAGGGACTCAACCAAAGGAAAAACATTCGAAGCCACATACCTGTTTTGTCGTCACTGGCCAAACAGACTCCGGCCAGGAGGCAGATGGAGCAGAGATACGTGAACCAGCGCGGAGCCGCCATGGTGCGACCGAGGCGTATCTTCGACTGCGGATCGGCGGGTCCGTGCCGAGGTTTTACCGGCACCCTCTCTCTGAGGCCACCAGCCGAGCGGAACAGAGGCCCTGCGCCGCGCCGCGGCTCTCCCCGGCCGCTCCTTTCCCTCTCTTCTGTCTGTCTTCTCATCCTTCTCCTTTTCCTTTTCATGTCGCCGACTGTGCGCTAAGAAGGTTTGGTGACAGAGGCAGTCAACTGGACAATTTGGCCGACTGGCTATTCAAATGTGTGTGTGTAGGAGGGTAATGTGGCGGGCACGACTGATGCTTTATAGGCACGATCTGATCCATGATAGGAGGTAAAAAATGACAAATCGTGTTCCGCTGGAGCTTTTTTGTCAGCATCATAGAGCAGTCAGCAGACACAGTCACCAATCGGTTGTGCTTTCAGTAACTAATGCACTCTTGTGACTCTCCTCATGCGTAAAAGCAAGTCTATTGGGCATTGGCCTATTTAAAAAACTGCAAAACTCGTCTTTTTCACTTTTCAAGAGAAAGGCTCTGAATCGGGATTGCAGTCACATGATTATGACACCCAGCCAGACCGTGCATCCTTCATCGTGCATTTGCAATCCGAATGGCCCACAAGCCACCTGCACTCCCCGCCACCCAAACCGCCGAAAGGTCGGGCCCATCACCGGACATATAAATGGTATAAATGCTACTTTATTCGACTGATAACAAAGTGCACCCTCCACAGTGAGCCGTATACTACAAAGCCTCCTCGACCCCACCGCAAGTGAGACAGATCAAGCAAAGCTTTAGTTCCGTCCCTCTGACGCCAGACGGCGCGGCGGTGTCCTCACACTCGGGTATGCCAGTTTCCAGTCGCCTCGGCACTCGATATATGAAACTTCCGCACAGGATAAGTCTGCAGTTGGTGTAGGAGTAGCCGCAGCAAGTTCAAGTCCGTGAATGGGATGGATCAAGCCCGAGCATGTGAGGACGTTTCGCTTGGATCCTCCAACTAATCAGAAATTACCGATCGGACGATGAATGTGGACCCTGGCTTCGTCAACCCTTTCCGGTCCAAACGGTCGAATTGTGATTTATGTACAAGTACGAGTGATTTATGTATTATGTACGAGCAAAACGTAGTCGATACTGCAAAAGAAAGTAGCCACCAACATGGGCGGCAAGCTCTCTGAAATATGACACTTCTATTTGATTTTACCAGGACAGAGCGAAACCAGGATATTTTCACTGCCATAAATGTGAGCTACGTGAATGGCATGGACCATGGATGCAGAGCCGTTGAAATTTCAGACGGCTCCGGCTCCGGCTCCGGAGAAAAAAAACGGCTCCGGTTCCGGCTCCGGCTCCGGGTGAAATGTCATGGTGGCTCCGGCTCCGGCTCCGGCTCCTAGTAAAATAATCCGGCTCCGTCTGCTCCGGCTCCGGCTTCTACTCAGTACATCCCCTATGCGATCCATTAAATACGGGTGGAAGAAAAAAGGCAATGGGATTGGTACTCGTTGCTTCTGTATTTGTATAACAAGGCTATTTTGAATAGGTACCACATTGTTTTACGCCTGGTACCTACTGTCAAAACGAACTAGGTAAATAATTTTTTCCTCTTAAAAAAGGAGCCGGAGTCGCCCCCTTTTTTGACGGCTCCGGCTCCGGTTCCGGCTCCGGGATATATTGTTTCACGGCTCCGGCTCCGGCTCCGGCTCCGGGCAAAATATGCCGGCTCCGGCGGCTCCGGCTTCGGCTCTGGCTCCGTCTCCACTAGAGATGTCAATCGGATAGCAACTTTTTGGTATACCGATACCAAATCGATACCAACTTGGTATTTGGTATTTCAATCGTAATGTGTTTGGTATTTTGTTGGTATCATAAACCCTCGCTAATGTAAAAGAGACTAAGAAATCGGTAAAAAGTTGGTATTTCCCTCATTTTCCCAAGTTGGTTTGGTTTCGGTATTTTCCCGTGGCTTTGATTGGTATTTGGTTTGGTATCGGTATTCCGATTTTCCGTAATTGACATCACTAGTCTCCACATCCCTGGAATGGACCCATCACGTTTTGTGATTCAGGTCATTCAACACATGACTTTTGGCTTCATGTGTTTCCAAGCGTACACTAGGTCATAGGAAATTTGGTTCGCAAATGTCATTTGCCATATAAAATAAATATATTGCTTTTGAAGCTTGTCGGGCCTCTGCTTAGTGTCTGACCGCAGATTTCTTTTTTATTCCTTTAATGACCAGAAGATATGACAGGATGTTCTGACGACAAATTTCACTCCATGCTGCAGCGCCAGCCCGCAATGTCATTAGCCATCGCGTGAACATCGTGGCCCATGACTGTATGGGACTATGGGCCCATACAACAGCCTACACTCTACAGTAATTGGTCCTTATTCGTGATAAGCTTCTTTGATCTGTTTCTGAGCACAGCAGGTCTGGAGCGGCGCAGCATAACTCACAAAGAGCGGTTAGCTTTTGCGGATTTGCGGATTTGCGGATATAGGTATATCACATTTGGGACTTATATGAGCCTATTATTTAGACATTTCATAGTAAATGGATACTGTAGGTGAGCCTCTTTGATCACACCGATGTTCAAGTTGTGTGGCTAGCACAATGTGCATGCATTGTAACTTTATGTATGCGGGCACGTGCATCGAGCGTGCATGTGACCGGCCGGTCACACAACGTGCATACCTACACGCACGTCCATGAAACCGTCACGCTCTGCATCGTCATCTCAGCTCCTCTATCCGACCGACCGACACGCATGTCGCCGCCGACGCATCGACACCGACGCGGGCGGGGTGGGGAGGGGAGCAGAGCGCCGTGAGACCCCCAGTCGGTCCGGCGGTGAGGCGGCAGTCGGCCGACGGACGGTGGCGGAGCGTCGGGTGGTCCAATCCTTTGGAGGAGGAGAAGAACAGGGAAGGGAGACATCTTGAGGAGCCTGATTGACAGATATCACTGATTGACTGCGGCCGAGCGGTGTGTAGGGGTGTGTAATTCAACGCTCGGTGTTACTGGAGACAGATTCGATCCCGACCCATCACTGTTCTGCAGTATTATCGGTGCAGCGCATGCTAAAGTGCACACCGGTGAAGAACACAGATAAAGCAGTTCAGCTCAACGGCGTCTTACCGTCTTTAGTCGGTGAGTTTTTTATACGACTCATGTAATGATGATTAGAGCTTGAAGGTTCGGGACGCTGAGTTTATTGTGGCCCTCGTGATTAATTTGGTCTGACACGGGCCGAATGCATCGACAACTTTGAACTTCATCTGCATAATGTTTCATCAGTCGTTTCACGATGCTTCCAGATAAGTTTGTAAATGCCATCCTTTCGGTGTTTGACTTCTGTCACGGAAATAAGAGGTTATGTATCATGTAGGTATGAGTAGATAATCTAAGAACTAGATATCTTAGCGAAAATGCGTATAATCGGAAAAAATTAATCCTTTAGTCGATGACCAATTCGGCTATACTCCTGGCTCGTTAAGTCCGACAGATGTGAATGGTATAGGGGTATCATGCTCCCAAAGAGTAGACTGCGAAAGTGGACAGACCAGACCAGAGTTACCCCACACCGGTCAGTATACTCTGTCTAGCTATCATTGAGCGGGTGATAAATACTTATATCTTAAAGAGTCTTGCATATTTAAATTTTATTTTGGTGATTCTTTTACTGAAATATTTCCAGTTTTAATCAAAGGCGAATTTGTATTTTGATTACAGTTAGGTATCTTAAGTTATTCAGTTTTTTTTTTAAACTGTGGGCCAGCTTTTACAAAAAAAAAAAAATCACCTGCCACAATATTGTAATATCTAGGTATAAGCTAGGTATAATCTAATTTAGTTAATTTAGTTAATCTAGGTATAAGCAATATTTTAATAATCTATGCTAGTTATAATAGTTATAATAGTGGTAATTAGGTAGTAATATGAATAGTATGGCAGTAGTTATATGATAATTTATGGTAGCAATGGTAGTTATAATGCCGTCTACACTCTACAGATAACTTACTTAACCCGCGCCGTGCTGGTGGCCTGAACTTTCCGCCGAGTACTGGGGGGGGGGGGGCGTTTTCACGCCCCCCCCCGTCTAACTCGGCTCCTGGACCACGTAGCGACAGACCTCACCTTAGGTCACAGATATAAAAAACCGAGACATACATTTTATACATACTGTTAGTCTGTTACTCATAGCAATCTCTGAAAGCTTCAAAGTGATCGTTCAGGTGTACCTATAGAGAGCCTTTGAACTTTTTCTGACCTGACCTTGAACGACTCGGGTCTGATAAACGGCGGGGCGGAGCGCCGCCGTTTTTGGGACACCTGTTCATGCATCTTTTCTACACATGTTGTGAAAATTTTAGACTCAGGGCTCTCAAGGTCAGGTCACCAGGTCACGTCAAGTGACCTCACCTCAGAAAAAATTTGCTATACCGACTGAACGACCGCCTTGAAACTTCAGCGATTGATAAGAGTAACAGTATGTACAAAATGTATATCTTGGAATTTTGATATCGGTGACCTAGGGTCAGATCAATTTTGCGACCTCTCCATTATAAGTCAATGAAAAAATTGAAATGCGCCTATTTTGGGGCGAATGGTGTTCAAAACCCTCCCAAACATCGGTTCATAGGTAAACATGACACACTGAATCGGAAAAATGCACCTGTGGCCCCTCTGTGTGCCCCTGAGGTCATATCAGGTCATGAACGGTCACCAGCAGTTTTATTGGCTATAACTTTTGATAAGGACGTGCTAGAGCGATGAAAACACGTCAGATGTATTCAGCTCGACGATACAGATCGACTGATATGCAACATGACCCTTTTCGGACAGGTCATGACCTTGACCTGGGGTCAAATTTTCAAAATGACCTTTCAAGGTCAACAAATAGCTCTTTCGACGCGTCGTCTTGACGAGAGAAATACGATGCTACCAAAAGTAATGTCGTGGCTCTCTTGAGTCAAAAGTTATTGATGAAAAACTATTTTCGTGAAAACTGCTATTTTACAGTTTTTTACCTCTGAAGGCTAAACCGTTGACCTGAGGTCAAATCTGAAACTATTACTCAGAAAGGTCTATAAAAAGGCAATCGAATGCGCCGCCCCCCCCCCCCCCCCGGCCCGGCCGCGGAATCTCATAGCACCGGCCCGGCGCGGGTTAAAGAATAAAAATAACTATATAGTAAGATAATGAGCAGTCTCCGCTTGTTTAAAACTTCTTTTTTCCAGTAAGTAAACGCAAAATGTATGATAGATATTTAGGTATATGTGCTTCACTGACAGATAAAGTAGAACGACCATTGAGCAATTTGTAGCTTCCTCGCACATTATGGGGAATGCGCCTGTACATAATGTTAATGGCCCGCATGTGTAAAGAAGAAATTATAAATGGCGCAATATCTCACTTGTAAGCAAAGATGTGTGGTAATATTGGAACCTTTTTTAGCTCTTCAAGCCCAGATGGTGTTTTATTGACTCGTAGAAACCACTCTTGCTCGCGGATGGGGCGATTCCCATTGAGTTCATCACTCACCGCGCGGTCATCTCTCATCGTCTCTCATCGTAATGTATTCCGGCTGTCAACGGACGACCGAGGGCGTCTCGGCCGGCCTGCCATCCGGCCCCTCCTATCTGGCAGCGCATTTGGCAGCGCTCTGCTGTGACAAACGCAGCAGCGCGGCGGGGTTGAAAAAACGATACAGTCACCCTCCGACTGTCCGTATGTCATTATGCCACTGTCATCTGTCGGTCCGTCTGTCTCGGAGATCACTAGCACTTTTGCGCTTGTTGCCTAAGTATCCATGTCATTCGTAAATGAGCCGTGCTGATTACCTCTGGTTGTATGCTGACACGCGGTTCGTTACAGGTCTGACGGCATAAGTCGCCGATGGGTGCGGCGACGCGCGGCTGCTCGGCTCTCTCGGGCAGTGTGCTCACGACCCTGGCTGTGTTCGGACTGCTGGCTCCCGTACAACGGACTGCCTCGGAGGACGGGTGAGTGACACGGCACCTCGCCCCCACGGTGGCATCTCTACAGCCGTCCAGTAACCTGTCTGGCATCAACAGTTACCTATCGTTTGCCCTCCATTTTCTCCAGACATGAGTTCGCTTCTAGGCAGTACCCAACGCTCGCACCATTACGTTTGTTTATGGTAAGTGGCATGCTCCTTGTACACTCCATGCGCTATGAAAATATGGGCATCGCTATTCTCCCCTAGTCTGCTGATCGTGGCATTCTTTCACCATGCCATTACACCAGGGCCGTAAACTCAAAACGCTGATCGATTTACTACCTTGATAGGCGAACACCAAGACCTCAAGCCTCAGATAGACTTATGACGACCGAATGCACTAGCTGTGTGCTTGTTGCGAGTGGGTGAACGAGTGGTCCCAAGGTCCCCAAGCAGCCGAGTGCTCCGGCATGTTCTTCCGAATGATAAATGACACAGCGTCGTGGTCGCTTGTCGAGTGTGCTGACCCAACTGCACTTCTGCAATGTGTACTGAGCATTGTGCAATAATGGAGACTCGTGTGGGTGTTATGGTCTGGTGACAGTGCACCATGTTCGTCCACCATCTTCGTGGTTCAGAGAGAAACCGATTCAAGTCTGAATCACCTGAACTGTTGTTTATGAATACAAAATCAATCATCAAAGCTCACCCAATTTTATATTTCAGGCCACTACGATTTGAAGATCTGCTTCCTCCGGAGGTGCATAAGAAATACGATAAAATGAAGCCGCCAAAGTCCGACGGCAAACCGACAGAAGTGGGTTTTCACGTCACCGTGATGCAGTTGGATTCTATCAACGAAAACTCAATGGTAAATACGCGCCAGAGAATATGTTTTGTGAGTGCTTCATTATTGATGAGCCACTCTTCAGCCATCAGGCCTTCAATGTTCAGAGGATTTTCTTTTTATACATAACTATCTCCGTTTAGGTACAATATTATGTGTGGGTGAATGGCACTACCAAAAATGAAACGCAGTGGGATGCTTCCTAAGTTTCTATCGGACGATCTGAGGCTCTTCCTTGTTTGCCCTAACTGCCTTTTCTTTCTCAGACATACGTTGCGGACATTTTCTTCGCACAATCATGGAAAGACCACAGGCTTCATTTGCCTGAAAACATGACATCGGATTACAGGTAAGAAGCCTTAGCAGTCTCATACGGTGTTTACGTTTTACAGATCCATATGTATTTTCTTTTTACCGTTTTTGTTACGAAAACGTTACGTTGCGTTTTTGTTTACCGTTTGCTTACGAAATGTTAAGCGAAATAGGTACTTACAATCAACATTGATGACATTTTATTTCAGCGTTAGTTGCGTTTTATCTCTTTCATCAGAATATGAATACTATCTTTTAGTTTACGGATTCATTCAACAGAATATAAATGGCCGCTTGACATAAGGCTTAGCGCTAGTTATGACGCCTTCTTTGGTGAAATATTTCTCTCTCATTGTGGAATCACACGACATCGTAATTTACGTGGCTGGACCACAGGCGAGCTAATGTCTCAATTCCCGGCGCCGTTTTTCGCTAGCGAGGCCGTTCAATCAAATATGGCTTACCAAAAGCATGGCCTTGTTAACTTCGACCCAGAGCTCGCCGGGGTGAATCACTCTACCCAGTGCTATTTCATAAATCCAGTACGTCCTTCATGGTGACACTGCACCTCCAAACACACAAGTTAAAGTTTACCGCCTACTGCACAAGATCCAATATACTCTACCGCTAATCCCCCAGCATATTTACACGTTACCCCGTCTGCCAGGATAGCATCTATTAACCGCCAAAGCAGCCTGATTGAGAGCGGCTAGCCCATTAAGGCACCAAGTATAGTAACAATGGCAAGGAGCGAGGGCTCGGCTTTCGTAGCGCCGTGCTGCATGTGTGTAATTAATTGGTCACTCTCTGATTGAGCACTACGAGGGGGATAGCAATCGTTCGAGGAATTGAAGGTTTTTTATGTCGTCTCCCTCTTTCGAAATAACATTAGCGGCTATAAATTAGATCAAAATTTGTACGAGATTAGCCCACCTAAAATACACTGCAATCCTGCCGATTTCTGCGACTGATGTCTTCCGTTCTTCCCTGAAAAGCAATAAATGATATAATACAATGCCAAAGAAATAAACGAATGAATTAAATCATTAATGAATCAAGTAATGAATAAACAGTGGGCAACACGAGCAATACTGTTCATTACTTACAGAATAAGGTCTGTTTGACACATGAGGTCCCGGGACATTCGTTGTTCCCCGCCCACACTATCATTCGCTGCACGTTCCTCTCAGATCACCACTGAGTTGT